TATTTATTTTTTATATTTTTATTTTCATTAATATTATTTTATATTATACTTTTCATTTCTTGCCATTTACATTCTTGAAGTTTTTCCAAATGCAATACGAATACGTATTTGTTTAATGGTATAAATCTTATATTTCGAATTTTATTTTACTTTCAGCAAATGTACTATTCCATTAAATTGAAAAAGAAAAAGTTTTTTATTGAAAACTGAATGCCCTACAGAGTATTCAACTTTGAACGTTATCAGTTCTTGGCACGCTGTTCTCAGAACTGAAAATCTTTAATATTAAACATTTTGAAGGAATTTTGTTTATTTATTTTATGGCAGTTTTAGTTTCACTGCCCGAACTCTGCGTATCATTCGCTCACTAATATTTTCCTGTTTAGTTTGTATCTGTGATACGTTCTGAAAACGGCAAAGTTTAACGTTTAAGAAAAGATACTACTGATATTCTGTGAAAGGAAGAAAATTTATGCACAAGATGCTCGGCTTAAAACAGCTTTATTTTATGCAAATGCTTTGGGTTCTTTTACGCATTCTGTTGTGATTTGATTAAGATACTCTCAAAAGATACAGATACAACATTTCATGGCATACATTTTTATTTTTTATTGAACCCATCAAAACAACAAATTTTCAAATACCTTCTTGATTTATTTTTTGTTTATTGACATGTATATCAGATAAATTTTGATCCAATATTTATATTTTCCTTTTGGCCAATAATTTTTGCCAAGCACCGCATTCTGTAGTATATTTTACAAATTTTTAAAGCAATATAACGAAACATTGTGGATATAGATGAGTAATATTTCAATTTAATAATTATTATTGTTTGCACAAAATGTTGATAAAATGTATTTTAATAAATAAAATTGAAGTTTTAATATTTTTGCTTTAAGTACCAAACTTGTATATATATGTTTTATCTTATATATTTACATATTTATATTTATTATATTATTTTATATGTGCACCTAATATGTATATATTTGTTATATAGTTTTAATACAGCAAAGATTAATTAACAATATTTAATTATTATTTTTTAGAGACGTTTTGAACAGTAGTGAATTAACAATAACAACATTTTTAATTAATGTTAATTGTTTTGCCGCAAATGACGTGTCTTATGACGAAAAAGAAACTATTTAAAAGTTAGAAGCGTTCGAATAGAAATGAAAATATAACAATAAAAATTTTAGTTAATTTATTGAAGTTTGGCTGACCTTACAAAATTGTTGTTGTGATATTTTCATTTTTATTTGAATCCTTCCAAAATTTTTTATTATTTTAATTAATGGCTGTATGTTTAATAAAATTTCAATTAATTAAAATAATAAAAAATGTTGTTTTTGTAATTTACTACTATTCAAAACCTGTCCTTATATTAAGTAAAATAGTTACTACTATTATGAATCAGATTAAAATCAAATTTAATTATTATTTTTTTAAATTAATAAGTGAACATTATTATTATTTCTAATATTTTTTTATTATTATGTTGAGGCTAGTTGAGTCAGTGCACTTGAGGACTTGAGCACTTTTACTCTCTACTAACTTCCAGGTATCTTCATAACCTCTCTCTACGCTTTGACTGGATTATTGCTTATTACTTCTTCAGACTAAGCAATAATTGACCTCAAAACTGCAAACCTCCACGAGGAGAAGGAGGAGGAATCAATCAACTTTTAGACATAACACTTATTTGGGTTTATAGAAATATTGAAAGGAATATAAAAGCAGACAATCTAGTCCACCTTGGTGCTTTTATGGATATGTTTAGAAGAACACCTACTTGCTGCATGCAGCTTGTATAGCGTCCAAGTTATTTACAATATGTAAAACATCCTGGTCGTCCCTGTCTTCGTACAATACTTGTATGACCAAGTACAGGGAATTCATTTACCGGGGCTGTTTTTATACTGCTGAGCTAATTGTAATTCTTTTGGGTCACTAGTTTTTAGAATTTTACGCAGAGAAAATTCATCTGCCGTTCAACACTTATTGTATAAGCTGCAAAAACTTAGACGCAGTAGAGACAATTACACACTTTCTTTCACTATTGAAGCACTTCTTTGATAGTCTGACTGCTGATAAAAGATCTGTTTAACTACATAATATAAACCTCATAAACTTAACTGGTTAGGTTTAGTTTACTTACAGTGGTTTTTTGCGAGGAATGTGGCATTAAAATAACAAATACTTGCTATTGATGTGAGATGGCAGTGCCCGCTTACAGAATAAAACATCTAGTGTGCTATTAGGATGATTTATAGTCTGTTGTCTTTAATTGTTACTACATTTTTCGATCTTTCACCTAAATTCTAATTTTATATATATTATAGACTCAATGCCATGTGGTTGACATTGGGACTTGGTATTGTTTTTATCGATTTGTCTAAGATTTTATTCAACGATTAGTCATTTACTTTGATATATCTTGTTTTATTTATTCCATTAAAATCTGTGCTAAATATTAAAAATAATAAGATTTAATTGTGAGTTCTAAAGTTTTTAATTTTTTTACCAATTTCAATTAAAAAAGTTGTTTCATTGTGAAATAAACTTTCCAAAGTTGGAAAATTATTGGCTATTGGCCACTTTTTTATATCATTTTACTTTCTGTGAAACCTGGTAGCATTTGATATTGAATAAATTGATTTGTTATTTTTATTGGCACTTGAAATAATGGTTTCATGTCAAGTGTTAGAATCTCATTAATTTCAGATGCCATTAATTACTTCAGCGCATCTACTCATCTACAGTGTAATTATAAAGATTTTCTTTTATTATCAAATTGTGTGCAGAATACTTAAATACTGAAATTCAAATGCAAATGCAAAGTCATCGATAAATTATTTTAATGATAATGAATTTTAAATAGTTATCAAAGATTTATTACAGTGTTTTATTGTGATAAGAACAATAATGATAATAATGTGACAAGTCCATAATGCATTGTGAGTGAGTTATTTAAAGCTTTTATTCAAATGAAATAAATAGTTCAGGAATTGAAATATCATCTGCAATCATTTTGAGACATTTGATAAAATATATTATTCTACAAAATTAATTGCAAAATGTGAAGCAAGAGATATTTTAATTACCGGTTATATTCAAAATATAAAACTAAAATAAATTTGAAGTTTAAAATAAATTTGTAGACTTTATTAACTTTCTATATTAATTTTAAGTCAAAAAATAAAATGAATAAAAAATATCAAATAAAATACATATATGCAATAATTTTTTTATTGATTTTATTTAAGATTATAAAATTAGAAAAAAAAAAAAATATATTTATTAATGAAATAGATATTTACTATCATTTATACCTACTAAGCAACTATATAGGATGGGACTAATAAAAGGCCGCCACAAAAATTTGATTAAAATAATTTAAAGTTTATAATTTTAGTTTTCATTGTTTTTTTACATCTTCAACATAATATCCATTAATTTCCATATATTTTTGAATCTGGTATATACGAGGGCTCTCCTTTAAGTCTGGCGCCTTATAATGAAAATAATATTATTGTTTCAAGCGTCTCTTTTTGAGGTTAAGTTAAAATTTAAGGGACACATTTCTTTCTGTATTCCATTTGATTGCTTAATGTTCGCTATACAGTTATAGAATTTAAAACTAGTTCATCAGTAATAATTTCTACGATCAATCTTAGATTTTTAACAATTTAGTGATAATACCAATAAAGATTGAGAAGTTTTGTGGGAGATATCCTACACAGGAAAATATTCGACCAGAAATCTCTAAAACCACTTTGAATGGGTCAACAGCGATAGTGCATTCCATCCATACGCTATTCCACAGTCGTCAACGTTTCTACAGGTTTAATGTTAAGCCAAAATCCCTAATTATTGGCAAACCAAATCTCTTT